CAGAGGACATCTATTTCAGGTGGTCAGACTTTTTTTTTTTTTTTTGGTGCCAAGGATAGAACTCAGGACCTTGCACTTTTGAGGCAGGCGCGGTGCCACTGACCTAAATCCCCGGCCTGGGACTGTCTGATTCTTTCTTTGGGTGCCAAGTTATGTGTTATGAGGTTGAATCTGGGAGGCAAATAACTTCTTCACCTTGGTGTGGAGATAAATCGCTGCCTAGGTGATAGTTTTGGGCAAGACACGGTGATGAAACCAAAGTATAAAACCCTGAGCTGCTCCTTCATAAAGATCTCAATTTATTTTAACTTTCATCTGTTTTAAACCTCAGAATTTGGTAGACAAGGACTTGGTATTATTGTCTTCATGGTTTTGCCTCTCAAGAAGAATAATTGCTTATTTCGAAATGTTTTGTCTATTTTCAGCCTCTTCATAATGACAGAATGCCTTATCAGTTTTATAGAGGATGTTATGAACTAGTTGCTCTCCAGCAAGGAAATGGGAGAGGGAGTGGAAGAAAAAGAGATGGAAGGAGACAGGGAGAGAGAGGTTTTCGTTTTTTGTTTTTTCAATTTTAGGAGTTTAATATAGAAAGAGCGCCACTGGAAAGAGACCGTTTGACATGTCAGTGACCTTATAAAGATTTCAAAGAACTCATACTATCAAGGGTATAATAGGAAATCTGTAACACAGGTTTAAGGGCTATATCTGCAGATGCTAGAGCAAATTTTCAATAACATTCAATTAAATGATTTCATGCCATGGATACATATTGAGACCACCACCAAAATTACATATATATGTATATATATGTGTGTGTGTGTGTGTGTGTGTGTGTGTCTGAAATGTATAATAGCAAAGTTTTATCATGTCACATAATATCTTTTGGCCACATGACTTCCAATATTTAGAAACTTTCAAGCTGCAGGAAACACACACTTTACCAGGGCAACAGAAAAGGGCGGGACAAGCACTCATCTCTTTGCATTGCCATAGATGTGTGCAAATGCACAGCTGAATGTATTTATCCATGTAAATCAACAGCACAGAATTCATGACGATGAAGCTCAGAGACACTGCGCAGCTTAGAAGTATGTTAGAAGTTTCAGTGGAGATTGCTTTACCCAGAAAACTCGTAGCCCCATGTGTATCCCCTGGAAGGTTCCAGGGAGACTCCAAAGGTAATGGTCCAACCCAAGTAGGCACTGGGCTGCGGGAGGCAGAGCAGTTCTGTTTCCAAGCTAAAGTTCTGTGGTCCAAGCAGTAGTGCCGTATAGCTTGCCCTTCCTCCCTTTCTCAGGGGTGCACCGGAAACTAAAAACATCAGTTTCATAGAAAATTGAGTCATTTTATGTGGATTCATAGATCAGCATTTCCTGTTTACTTTCTTTTTATTTTTTCCATCTTTCCTTTAAAAGCTCTCCATTGATTATCCTGACACCTGCTGGCCGGGGTGCAGGGGATTCTCCTCTTTTCCTTCCAATCAATCTCTACAATAACTTTTAGAGGTATTTTCTGTGACAATTTAGTAATTCATTCAGTTTCGGTATCTGTAGAACGTATTTGCTGGCATTCTGTCAAAGGAAACTATGAAAACTTTTAAAATAATTCCTCTATTCCACATGAGCAGGACTTGACTCTGTTCATAAATGCATGTCTGTTATGATTAGCCATAAAATATTATAATTGTGACATAAGCTAATATGAAAAACAGAAACAAATTTGCTCAGCATCTTCCATAAAATGCAGACAAGAATTGAATTGGAATGACTTGACTTTGCTTTTTTACTTTTTTCCATAAGATCCAATTTCAAACTACTTAGCCAATAGAAAGACTAAAATAAATAGCTATAATATAAGCCATACTACTAATTACATATTTGTAAAATTTTCTATTTTTTTCAGTACCACCTTATTATGATTTACTTCTGGCTTGGACTGAGTTCTGTGGCCTTCCCTAGTCTTTGGCAAAGATATAATAAAACCATTACATTATCAATCACACTCAAAGCTATTGCTCTTGCAAGTGTCTGCAGTAAATTAACAAATATCAGAATTACTTCCTCTGGCTTTAGGAAACTCAAATAAGGGAAGGTTTAAAAAAATTGTATGCAAATGCTGACACATATGGTCTTTTCTATTATTCAGAACTCTTCAAAAGATAAAGCATCCGAAGAGTAAATTGCCTAATTAAAAACCATCTCTTGAACATCAACAAAATTAAGAGTCTGGAGTTCTAATTTAGCCATTTAAAATTATCAAACAAATTTTGTAATGTGTTGAGTAATCATGTTATTTTATTTGAAGCATATGTTTGCTCTTTTATATTTCTATAATTTTGTGAGAAGAAAAATTTGTAGATATCTAGAAAGAAAAGTAAAATTTATTAAGTAGTCTATGAAAATATGCCAGACCCTGAAGGCATGTTTTACATGAACATAAATCTTAAATATTTGGTAAAAGTGTCAGAAATCCACCTTAGGGAATTGTTTAAAGGTGCAATACTTTTTCTTGTTTTGAATATCTTTGTGACTCCAAGTCTACAGTCCAGAAGACTAAACCACTGCAATTTTTCTTCATCAGTTTTTATTATAATTGTTTTCCAAAACCATAAAAATATCAAAAAGTACACTTTAATTCTAAGAAAACAGTACAGATTTCAGAAGTAATCATGAAACCTTTTCAGGTGCAAAGGAAAACCCGTGTCGTGTTGTGGCAGTGCATGACATAGGCGGGTCATACTGTCCCAGCGGGACACTATTTTCACTTAATTATTACATTCAATTCAATATTTCAAAATTGTTTTAAATGTTTCACCTTGAATCTAATGTTAGCATTCATTTCTAAAGTATAAAGTTAATGATCATGTAAATTAGGCAATGAAGACAAGAATATGTAATAATACCAAAAAACAGAACCCTGTAATTTCAGCATAAATATACTGTGACATTAATCACAGTCGTAGTGTCACAGGGAGCGAGATTGTTCAGATATTACTTTGTTCTCACGTACCACTGACTAAAAATCGCCATTGATCAAAAACTGAAAATACAAATGCCAATGATTCACAGCCTTTAGGACCCGTCTAGACATCTTTAGACAGTGCCATTGGCTTAAAGACTTCAAGCTGAAACTGCAGGAACAGGGGAATATTGCATAAGCTGTCACGTGCTTGCTGTAACTGTACGCATGTTATTGAATTTTTTAGAGCAACCCATAATGATGAATAATTTAAGAGTTAATAAAATATTCAACCTGACTGATCCATTGGTTTAATTTTAAAATAAAGATGACTAATAAAAGGAGTTACACATCCTTATCAAATTCCAGGCACGAATGCATGTCAATGGCAAACTGCAACCCACGCAGAAGGAAAACACCGGTTCCTGTACCAGGCTTGCCAGACGGGGGTGCGGGGGAGGGGTGCGGGGGGACATTCTCTGTTTGAACGCGGGCTCCAATAAGTTTGCGCTGAGTTTAATTGTTGGGAGGCGTTGGCCAAGCTGTACTCGGCCTTCTGCAGAGCTGAGAGAAAAACAGCTGGGCAGACGCAAGTTTGACAATCAAGCTCCTGCAGAACTGCTCCGCTCCCTTCCATCCTCTGCCCACAGGCTGGCTGGGACAGGGAGACCTGAGGAGAACGAGCAGCTCCGGGCTGCCGAGGACGGTGTAGGAGGCCTCGGAATTTCAGGAGACCCTGGAAGCGGAGCCCTGCGCGGCCCTCACGCGCTGCTCCTCTCGCCCCCGCCGCCCGGCTCCGGTGGGGACCCCGCGCGGGGAGGGTGCAGGTGCGTGCGAGCACGAGTGTGCGTCCGGCTGGCTCCGGGCTAGCCTGGGCGGGGAAGGAGGCGGGAAGGGCGGGACTGCAGTTGCCCCCTCCCCTTTCCGTGAGGGAGCAAAGTGCCCACGGGATCCAGGCGGAGACAGAGAAAGGAATAAACAGGGCGAGCTGTCTTTTCCTCCTCGCTAGGGACTCGGCCGACGCGCGACCGCAGCTGCACTGCGAGCCTCAGCCTTCGGTGGCGTGGCTGCCGCTGCCTGCGTACTGGAAGGGCCCTGGGGTAGACACGGGCGGACCAGCGGCTCCACGCACGCCCCTGCGCCTGGGACCCAGGCCGAGGGCGCGAGGGCGGGAGGCCGAGGCAGGGCGCGGCCGGGGCTGGCGCGCGTCTGGGCTGCAGGCGCGGGGTCCTGGCCACGCAGCGGCCCGACAGCCCATCTCGCCTCGCTAGAGGGTACGGTGCACGGGCAGGCAGGCGGAGCGGCCCCGGAGGGCCGCTCACCAAATGCAAGCAAGTGCGCTCGGTTCTCTCCCTTTCCGGCGCTCGTCCGCCCGGCTCTGCGCTCCCTCGCAGCGGTCTTTCCCGCGGTCCCTCCCGGCCGTCCGCCCGGGTGCGCACAGTGGGGCACAGTCCGCAGCGCCGCCCCACAACTCTGGTCGCCCCTTCCCTGCCCCAAGCTTGGGAGACACCCGGGGGGACCAGGGCGTGGCGTGGGTGCACCAGCCAGATGCGCGGAGGACCGAAAAGTCCCCTCCACAACTCCGCAAGATTCACACCGAGTCCTGTACGTTTTTTAGAGCTGGTTTTAAGTGGGTTTCCCCTTTTCCGTGCAAGTCAAGAAAAGCTCGCGCCAGGCAGCTCTTGCAACTTTTCAGCTCCCGGGCCAGGGGCGCAAGGACCGGGTGGCACCGCACGGTTGCCCAGGACCCGGGATGGCAGCACCGAGCCCCAGGCTCGGGTCGGAGGGAGCGCTGCGCGTAGGGGTGGCGGCGGCGACGGAGGCGCGGCGAGAACCAGCGCAGCCCGAGACCCCCGCGCCCCTGAACCCCGGAGCCCGCCCGGCGCCCGCACCTGCCGGCCAGGGTTCGCGCCACCCCGGCCCCAAGCGCGCTCCCCTCGCCCGGACTTCGGAGCAGTTTCGGGGCGCGCCGCTGCCTCCTCCGCGCCGCCCGCTCGCCGGTTCCCTGGGGCGTCCCGGCCCCGCGCCCGCGCCCTCACCTCTGCACAGCCGGGGGACCCCGAGGCTGAGCCCGAGCAGGAGCCAGGCGGCCGCCGAGCGCAGCATGCTGAGGGCCGAGGTGGCGCCGCCGAGGAGCAGACCCCGCCCGGTGCGGACTCGGCTAGGCGGACTCCCGGGAGGCCGCGGCGGAGGACGAGGAGGACGCCGAGGACGAGGACTGGGAGCACCCGCGGAGGACGCGTCCCGCCTGCGCCGAGCGGTCCGGCCGGCGGCTGTGTACACAGAGCGGCGTGCGGCCCCGCGCGCTCTTATCTCCGCCGCCCGCCTCCTCCGCCCCCTGCGCCTCCCTGCGCCTCCCTCCGCCTCCTGCAGGCGCGCGCCTCGCCGCCTTCTCCGCGCCCCAGTCCCTGCCTCTTCCCCTCCCCCGCCCCTTAACTCACTCCCCGTCCAGCCTCCGGGTCCTGCCTCTTCCCGGGTCCCCGTCGCCCCTCTCCGTCCCTCTCCCCTCGCTCTTTCGGCCCCCGGGCGGCCGGGGAGGTGCGGACCACACCCGGCACCTGCCGCGCCGCGGGACCTCGGGACTCCGGGGTTCACCGCGCGGCGAGGACCCTCCACTCTTCAGCTGCGCCGGGGAAGAACTTAGGGGTTGGGAGAAGTGGCTCTCGTCCCCGGGACTGCGGGAAAGAGACCCTGCGAAGGGAACGCGCGGGGTCAGCCTCGGACTCCAGGACGGCCCGGGCCGGGGCTGCTGGGCGCCTGGGTCCCCAGACCGGAAGGGGGAAGCCGGGAGGCGAGCACGCGCGCCTCGTCCAGCGGGACATCTGCTTCAGATGCCAAATCCTGGGGCGAGCTGGCCGTAAGACGGGAAAAACCAAGGACAGATTCTCAAAGGAAGGGATCAGATCAAACGTCATGGCTACCTCCAAACTAAAATAAATGGACTAGTTTTTGCAGTGAACAAAAATACAGCCCCTAGCTTACAACTGTGCTTTCGAGTAGAAGTGTGTGTTTTCGGTCACAATGATTGCTCACTGCACATGGACGCGCTATCGTCCTGCAGATCTGCAGATTCCAAATGATCTCTCTCGATCTCTCTCTCTCTCTCTCTCTCTCTCTCTCTCTCTCTCTCTCTCCAGACAAATATAAATCGTCTCCAGGACTAGAAGGCGGAAGGAAAACCTAGGACCTGAGAACAATTAGCCATTTCGCTCCGAAGACAACTTCATTTTCAACTCCCACCTTTATTCTCGAAGGTAAAGACGGGCGGGGTGGGCTGCGGGCGGAGCAGGCTGCGGGCGGAGCAGTGACACACCTGCTGGGGAGTAGTTAAGTCATTGTACCACAGGCACACAAGGGGAAATCCAAACGCCTTTTCACAGTAAGGGTGCTTCAAACCTTTTCACATCCGGGAGGGTGAAAGCACATTTTTAAGGATTGATCTTGCAAGGGAAAACAGGGCATTCATTTATATCCTGTCTACTTTTATGCTCACAGCCACAGATGTTAGAATAAGACAGCGTTGCCCGCATTTGCGGGAAAGAAGTTTCAAACCGTTCCAACTTTCTGGCACATTGTTGATATTTAATTCTGAAAGGCTTTCCACCAAGCTGTTGCGTGCTCCTCATAAAGGACTTCTTTATCTTTTGGGATGAGATGTCTTAGACTAGTTTTAAGGTATTATTCCCAAAGGGTAGTACTTAATCTTGAATATGCAGATTGAGTCTCTTTGTAGTGAGACTAAATGAAGGAAAAAGAATGGGTTAAATATTGATTAGTTTCCTATTTTATTCTTTATGTCCATTTTTGTAATATATTAATAAACATAGTAGCAAGTTAAATAATTTTTGGCAACCCTTTATGTTACTAAAAATTTATCTTTCTTTTAATTTAGAGATTTTTTTAACTCCGGTGGGCAAAACTAAGCTTTTAAATGCATATATTACACCCAAACAGTGGAAACAATCAATAAAAGGCCATTCTTTACTACCTGGTACAACTTGGGGAAGAGCCTGGCAGTTTAATATCTTTACTTCCCTATTTTTATCAAAAAAATTGATATATACTGTTACATAGCTGCACGTGCATATTGATTCCTGCTTTTAAAATGCATACGACAGTGAACATCCAATGGCTAATGAAATTAGCCTTTCATTGTAAAGGTTCCAGGTGACAGAGCGATGCTATCCAGTAAGCCAGGCCCTTGCCTTGCCTCCGTGCTGTTTTTTCCACAGAATGTTCCTTTGCAGAAATACAACAGTTTGTGCTACTGGGCAGGCTTCTACCCAGTGTATCAAAATGTTTTGTAACTGTTTGAAGTTCATGACCTCTCAGGAGTGTTCTGTTATTTCTGCCCCTCTCAGGCCCCCCTGCTTCAGCGAGCATGCTCACTCACTAGCCTTTCAGGAACTTTCTGAAACTCCACCCCCCTGCTTCAGTGAGCATGCTGCCTAGCCTAGACCCCCCTATATAAGGAGGCTCCCTGTTCTGGTCCAGTGCTCAGACTCAGGAGTATGAACTCCAGTTAGCTGCTGGCGGCTTACGTTTTTCTCCACCTCTTCAAGTGACCATGGGATTCTCAAGTCTTCAAATTGCAGTAACTGCAGTGCTGAGCTGTAACACTGGCTGTGCCTCAGAGTTCTGGTCACCAAGCTGTTCCGCTTTGCCACAACACAACACGGGCACTTTATGCGCTTTACATTTATAGGACTCGTTTAACTCCTACTGAATTCATATATAGCCCTTTCAAAAGTGAAATGTCAGACATGCTAAAAGACTACAGATTGTATTATAAAAGAAACAGAAGGGCGAAGGATCACTTTTGTCAAGAATCTTCTACCTCACCTGAAGTGCTAAGGGACCTTTTCTAATCCTCATGTTATCCAGCTTCCAGTTGTATGGCTTCTCCAAATATATCCTTAGAGTGCTGAAAATGAACCTCTGCATCACGGGAGGATGCCACGCCCTAAATTGTTTTCTGCAGGCCTCCTTTTCCCCAAGATAGCAGTAAATTTCTGGGAAAAAAAACAATGTTTCATGGCCAAATAATTTTGGGAAGCATTGTACATTAAAGCTGCTTTTAGGAGATGCTTGATGAATGCCACCATATTAAACACTTTACGTGGTTTGTGATTAAGAGGCTTTCCCGGAAGTGTATAACCCAGTCTTTGGCAAACTTTTCTCCTTCTCTTTGTCCCTGTTCCCCTTATCCTCCTCCTTCTCTCTTCTGTTACAGCAAGCTCTTCTAAGAACAGCTGTTAACATATTGCAGGATGCATGGTACAAGGAACAGCACTTGAAAACATTATCTTAAGACAGAACAAAATAGCAGAAAAACAAAAAGGAAACTATGGAAGGTTTCCTGCAATTGGCCGCAAACTGAATATTTTTCTTCTTCCATAATTCATATACTGAAGCCCAAATCCCCAGTGTGATGCTACCTGGAGATACAGTTTGGAAAGACAGTTTGTCCAGAAGGGTGGTGCCCTTATCAGTGGGATTAGTGCCCTTAGAAGAAAAGATGCCAGAGAGATGATCACGTTCTGCTCTCTACCATGTGCAGACTCAGTAAGGAGACAGCAACTATGAACCAGGAAACCTCACCAGACCCAAATCTGCCTGCACACGGATGTTAGCTTTCCCAAGTTCCGGCACTATGAAAAGTAAATGTTGTTTAAACTACCTTTATGTAGTTATAGCAGCCCAAACGAAGATAGTTTTTAAGGAATTAGCTCATTGGTTAGGAGTGTGGTTTCTGGGCCAGGGATTTAGCTCAGTGGTGCCACCGCCTGCCTCCCAAGTTGAAGGTCGGAAGTTGGATCCCCCAGTACCAAAATAAATAAATAAATAAAAAGAGTGTGGTTTCTGGAGCGCTCAGGTCCTACCTGAGTTGCCGACTGTTCCCACTTCTAGAACTCCTTTCACTGAAAGTCAGGTCCTTGCCAAGCCTCAGATTTCTCACTTGAAAAGTGGCCTTAGTAATGGTGTGGTATTCACAGTGGTAATTTGCAGTGCATGGAGGGGAGCAAAGTGATGCCGATGGGAGACATGACCATAATCATGTGCAGAACTTCTCTTGATAGTAATTGTCTCCATTCCCTATTTCCCACTCCTGTTCACTTACAACTCTGCCACTCACCTTTCAGTTTGACAAATTGTAAATAACACTAAATGCGGTATTTATCCCTGTAGCTATTGAGTGTTTTAAATAAGCTACATGCATTTGACCAAACTACACTCAGTACTACTATTAATTCAGTGGTGACAGATGGATTTCTGACCTATGGATCTGGGTGTTGTTTTAAACTGCCAAATGTGTAGAAATTTGTTTTTCAGCAGAAGAAAACTATTATAGTAGCTCACTGGTGTTATTCTCTTTTAGTGAGAAGTAAGGGAAGGATGTTAAGGTTAATTTCCTGTGGTCTTAAGTTAGTTTTGGAGACAGTACCTGAAACTGAGTCTGAACCCAGACCCCAGTGCACTCTTCTGCTGCTGATTATGAAGCATTCTCTGCACACGACGCCTGTAGAGCCTGAGCGCTGGCCTGATTCCAGGAGCTATTTCCATAACCATTGTGTTATGCCTGTTCCAATAGTGGTCTAACTTACCTTATTCATTTACATGTTCAATTTAAGTAACTATAATTGTCATTGTCATTTATAGTACAATCTGCATTCTCTCTGAGCTTCTTGGTTTATGATTTTAGAATATACGTTGCTTGAATGTGGAGTTCTTAGAACATTTTTAAGTTCTCTAAAATATTTTCATAACTCATAACATTTCTTTCACTGCTCCCACAAGTACCAAGCTAATTCTTCTGACTTTCAGCTCCTACTAGTATCCCACCTGAAAGACACTCTTACAAACCCTAATAGCTGACTTCATATCTCCTCTTAAGGCCTCTGCAAGTTACACTAGCACCACAAAATCATCGCTTCTTAGAATTACCAATGTTTTTCACCCTTTTTGGTTTGTTTCACTCATTCATTCTTATCTTTGAAAAGAATTATAAACATTTCTTGCTATATGAGTTACCACATGACTTAAATGTAGCTCAGTGTTTGCTTTTAAACTTCTTCATGAAGATTCTGTTGTGAATAAAAGAGGAAATTAATCTTCATGACTACACATTTTATAACATCCAGTATTTCACTTCTGATGAACTCATGGATGCTGCTTCCATCCAGAAAATGCACAGGGTTATTGAATAAGAGCTCACCTTTGCCTTCACAGTCTGACCCTGGTAAGAGTAATCTCTGATGCTTTTAATACTTTCCCTCTGGTGTTGCAGTGGAGCCATTTCATGACTTAGTTTTTAATCTTCCCAAATTATTTTTGAGTAATTGATACTTGCACAAAATAAAAGTTCAGGTTATAAAAGAGTGTACAGGGAGGTAAGTTGCTTTTCTAATGATATTTCCTCTTTATATATGCTTACCTCTCTCCCCAGGGCCAAAGGCTTGACATATGCATGCAAATAAACAGCACACACCTAACTATTGGCATATACGTGTGTGTACACGAGTGCAGAACATGTAGTGCATACTATGTACATTTGATTTTAAAAGTTTTAATTCTATAAACTTCCATCTTGCTTGTATGCACAAATTATTTCTTTTCAAAATTGTATCAAGGGCAGTATAGGATTCATGTAATGTAAGTCCCTTTTAATAGACTTGGGTTCTTTGCAATCCTTTAATATGGCAAGTATTTCAGTGAACACTTATTTTGTGCACATGTGCAAAATAAACTCATTAGGATTGGGTGCTTGAGATGGCATCATTAGTTCAGAATATATGTATGTAAACTGACGATGGATACGATAAAATTGTCATTCATAAAGTTGTATGAACTCATCCTTCATCTAGTGCATCAAACACCCTGTTTCTCTAAATCAGTCCAACACAGTATCTTAGTGCTCTGGTTTAATCAACTGGTTAAGTGAAAATAATACTTCATGCTTTTGGGTGTGAATTATAATGAGTAGGTTTGAACACCTTTTCACATGTGTAAAACTAATTTATATTTTCTTTATGTGAACCGGCATTTCATGCCTTTTGCTCTTTTTTATATTGGATTACTGACCTTTTTGTTATTGATTTGTAGGAGCTCTGTATATATTAAATAAATTAGTGTTGTGAGCTACATTTATGTCAAAAATGATCCAGCTGGAGTTTGTCCTTTAGCCTAGTTTGCAAGTGTTTTGTTTGATTTTACTGTGATGAACTGTATTATATTTGGGTGATGAAATTAACCCATCTCTGCTTTATGATTTCTAGGTTTTGATTTTTGCTAAGATAGGCTCTTACTATTCTAAGCTTATAAAGATTTTATCTTATAATTTCTGATAAAAATTTTATGAGTATTAAGTTTTCATGAGTGGTTTACAACTCTAGGCCAACCCCAAATATTTGAAGAGGTAGTTTATATTTTACTTTTCCAAATTACAGATTAAGACAAATGTACTTTTTGAATAAATCCCTATCTCCTTAGCTGACATGACCGGTAAACTCCACCCCTCAGTCACTCAGTATTTGTCTCTTCTGCTTGCTTTTACAGACTGTAACATAATGTTAGCTACTTGGAAGTCACTGCAGGCCTCTTGTTTTAAAATTCTCTAGTAACTGATAAGTTGAAACTTTTCATCCACTTCTTTTTTTTTGGTACCAGGGATCGAACTCTGGTCCTTGCGCTTGCGGAGCGGGCAGCAGAACCACTGAGCTAAATCCCTGGTGTTCCCTAACAAATATGCACATATTATTCCCAATGTGAACTTTTGAACATACCTTGCAGTTGAAAAAGGAGAATAACATGTTAGCACACCTATCTTGTATATAAGTTTCTATTGTGTTCTGATGTGGTTTCTAGTCAGGTAAGTTTATCTGTTTATAAAAGTAACTAACTGCAAATTTTGCCTTGTGTAACTGGTTGCTATTTATTTACAAGAATGCTACTTCTGTGATCTTTTTCTGTGTGTGCACTAATGTTAAACCCATTCTATAGAAATTCTTTGATGTTTATATTACTTTTCAGTTGATACTTTTGGGTTTTCTAGACAGACAGTTATGCAAAATGATATTTTTACCTCCTCTTTTAAACTTTTCATGCTATGTCTTTCTCCTATCCGGTTGTTAGGATTGGTATCACACAAATTCTAAGTAGACACACCTGCATCATTCCTCACGTGAACCTTCCGGGCCCTTTCCTCTGCAGAGCTGGGGCCTCTGGTCTCCTTGGTGAAGAGCACTTACTGTCGCCTTTTTATACATTCCAGCATTTGCTCAAAAACCCTAAGCATTCAAACAGATATCTTTCAGAAATGAAAACATTAATGTTAATCTAGAAAAAAATAGTGTTCATGGATGCTTAAGATAAAATAAAAAGTATGGCAGGATTGCACATCCAAATTCTGAGGTTACATTTGACAGAAACCTGGAATTCAGTCTCTTTTGGTTGGAAAGGTGGAAAATGATACCCTTTGCACCCACAGTAGATGTAAATATTTGAATATATAGTTATCTAAAGGAAAAACACTTTATGACAGTCTAAACAACCCTAAACTATTTTCCCTTTCATTTGGGTTTTGCTAGCGGTCGTATGTCTTTTCCTCTATTTATGGCTTTGCTGAAAGTTGAGTTGGTGATTTATTTATCTTAAATATACAAGCCTTCCTATTTGATGCATCAAGCATCATAAGTGGATTAAATATAAAACTAAATGAAATCCTAAAAAATATTTATGCTATCCATAAATAAATGTCAAAGATTATGAATAAATAAGATCCTCCAGGGTTTCCTTGCTTCAAAATGGGCTGCGGTTTTAGAAGTCTATCAATAAAAAATAATTTGTTCCACAATCATGGTTTTCCTAAAAAAAGTGAGAAACTAGAAGTAGAATGAATATGGTATTTTGGCCTATATGATTTAAATTATGGTTTGTTTCTTCTACCATGGGGAGAAAAGCATGTAATACGGTGTTTGTAATATTAAGATAGATTCTATTACTTCTATCTGTAGGTAAAATTGTTTTAAAATGTTTTCTGACATACATAGCACTCAAATATTTCCTTAGAACACGATGTCACATATATCTCAGGCATATGTCACACATGTCTCATATGTCTTTTGCATGTGGGAAGGGAGGAGAATCAAGATGTGATGCACATGTACCAACTCCCGTTATGAATGTCAACATTGTATACTGCAAACATGGACTACTAATGTTTCCTCCATGCATCTCTCCACAAGCCTTGTATCTACATTGACTAGGTGGAGGAAATAGATATGGTCCTCACTATGAAGTCAGTGAGGCAACAGAGATGTAATTAGCTTAATAATTTCATATGGTACATGTATATCAAAACATCACGTTGAGATACAATGTCTACAATTATTGTCAGTTGAAGAAATGTTGAATGTTTTGTTGGCTGTGTGTGTGCATGTGTGTATGTGTGCATGTATTTGTGTGTGTTTGTACATGTTCAAGGTTGAATGCAGAGTTTTCTGTTAGCATGTACTTACCCACTGAGCTAACCTCTGCAACCTAGTGACACTTTATGTTTCAAAGCCACAATGGCCTTGTATATTTCTTGCTTCATGTAATCATCCTGTAGATTTTAATTCATAGGTAAAGTCTCAATTTCAAGAACAAAATTAAGAAGCATGATAAAAAGTACAATGTCCCAAAATTACATAATTGTCTCATTAAAATCTTGGACAATTCAGAATACATACATACTTTTCTTAAGAGTAGATAGAAGAATGCAACTTGATTTGTAAAATAATTAGTTGTGTTCAACATAACCAGATGGACTTTTTGAACTAAAAAGTTGTAAATAGTTAAAATCCATTATAATGTTGGCCTTCACTCATTTAATCATCCTCCAATTAAATGAAAAATCAAATTAATTTTCTATCGAACTGAACTATCAGTTACTTTACTTTGTAAGAAATACATTCTTGAGTGTTTGTCATAACATAATCTAATGAAATAAATCAACATGAATTTGAAAGTGGAAATTCAATTGAAAATCATTTTGGTTTAATAAATGTTGAGGATTACTTTATCATTCAAATCAGGGACCAGTAAATTAAAAGTGCATCAAGAAAGAAGTCAGATATTTCTATAAACTTTTAACATGGCATTTGTCTTGCTGTAGATATAAAACACTTCTTCTTTCTTGTCTGTTTATGAGTAGGAGTCACCATAACAGGGTGAGCAGTAGAAATGTTTTCAGTCTTGCCTTTGATGGTCCCACTCAGCACCAGCTGAAAACACCCTTATAATATTTTAACATTTTCCCTTCCTCTATTAAATAATGTGTCATTCTGGGTTGTCTGTCATCTGAGCCAGTGACTCAGTTCTGTCTAAGAATATGTCTGCGACTTTGATGATTGCAAAATTCAGGAAGTTTTCCCCTTAGAAAAGCCCAGCTTTTATCCCTAGAGCACAGGAGCGTAGAGAGAAGACTTAGAGCCAGATTGTGATAACCACAGGGAGTTGGTAAGCCCTTTACCTTTTATGTTTTTTAACTACGGGAAAATATCTCCTTGTAACTGCTTTGTAGTCTGCTATACTTTTTATTATTGTTGTATTTCTTTTAGCTCCTTAATTTTTAATTTTAGTTTTTTTCAAATGCAGGAGGAGAATTTGAGGATTTTTCTGAACAGTTTACATTCCTAAGGAGGGAGACAGTCTTTTGCCTTCAAATGAGCTCTGTGAAATCCCTTTTAGTGTTGTAAAACATACCTCCTTAGTCTCAGATGGTACCTTTGCCTTAAAACTCAGACTTGAGGATGAAGTGGAGAGTGAAGAACTTAAACCTCTGCTGCTTGCAGTCTCTGGATGTCTGCCGAGCAGTAAGCATCAACTCACAGACAGGGTGAGTAAAAGCTACAGTACTGTTGCTTAGTAATTTCTCAGCACAATCAGTCCTTCAGAAATGAATTCATGAATTAAAGATAATTTTCTGACAGTAGCCAAGGTTGCCTTAGTCCATAGTACAGGATGAAAAGGAAATCAGAAATCATCCTAATTCCTTTCTAGAAATACCCATCTTACGTATTTTACAAGCTGCAAATGTTCTAGAATAATTTTCACTTACTTTTGAGTTTTTAAACACATTTTTCCTTGCACATTTTTATCCTTCTTTCAGCCATATCAGACTTATTTCTGCCCTGGTCAAGCATTTAGCAAATTTGCTGGTTTGAAATGTCGTATTTTTAAATATTAAGTTTTGATACAAACTTGAAACCTTACATACTGTTCCATTGTATCTTCTGTCTCCTCTATTACTGTTTTAATCTCTAGTTTTTAAAATATTAATCAGGTTAAGAAGCTCTCCATTGATATCTTCCTAGCTATACTTTCATACTTACTCTAGTAGTTGAACTTAGACTTTTTTTCTAAAATTAAAATGGATCCAATTAAATATTGAATGGGTTCATTTTATCCATAAGGATAAATTTGCAAATAGCTTTTACATTTGCAGAATTATTTTATTTGATCCGAGTATGTCTTCCCATGTATGGGTCCTGGCAACACACTTTAATGAAATCTCTCCCCCACTCTGTGGTTGTCATATGCTTCACACTTTGTTTTTCTGGAGGGTAGTACCGTTTTGCCATTGTTTTCTAAGTGACTTTTCAATGAATTCGAAAGTTACTGAGTTATATATAACTTGTCAGCCTCCAAAGTTCTTTGATAATACAAGTCATGATGAACACATTTTTTCTTGCAAATAAACTTACATGCAAATGATTTATTTCTTCCTTTTGTGTCTGCTTATGGAAATATATTTTATACACTTTTCTAGCTGGACTGTCTAGCATTTCCAAAGAAATCTAAATACTCCCATTTGCGTGAGCTTCCGGTGGCATTCTAGACCAACAACAGTGTCACAGGTACTCAATCCGGGCAGCCCACAGAAGTGCACCCAAATTGGCTTGTTGGGCCTCTGACAGGCACCTGCTAAGCACCCAGAGCTACACAGGAAGACACTTCTTACCTTTCTAAATAAGACCCTTTAAAGAATAGTTAAGTCTGATTCTAACAAGTCTGACAGAGGAAGTTTATTTCTAGGTTGATTTTTGTCTACTCCTTAAAAACAGTCAAAATTGAGAGAAAAATAGGAGGAAAAAAATACAAAGCCATATTCCCAGGAAAGACAGTGAGAAAGGCTCTTCTCTATGGCTAAGCTTGTCTGGATGGAGGGCTGCTGACATCCAGGTAACTGCGCACAGCTGTAGCGAGTGCAGACTTGGGGTGGGAGAATTTGGGGTGGTGGGGAGAGCCAGCCTGGTCTCAGGAGGGGCTGGACCAGCGCTCTGCAGGAGTGAGGAAGCCGTCCATCTGAATGACACATTCCGAGGAGCAGAGAGCTCAGTGTCATTGACCACAACCATGAGGAAAATTATTTTTAACAAGTACAAGTTGAGAATATTGTCTGCTTTTCATTTGTATTCTGAAATTTTTAGACTTTACTCTCTTGTGCCATTAAACTTTACACAACAAATCTCTATTAAGCATTTTTGCAAGCAGGAAAGTTGGTTGTCTACTACAGTTTATTTTTATGTTTACTTCATTGTCAGTGTGGGTGTGAGGTGAAGTTGGATTCTCCAAATCAAAGTGGTCAAATATATTATAGATCAATGCCTTAGAATAAGTGAGGTGCTCTTTTTACATAGACCAGAGTCACTATATAAAAATCACAACAACCTGAGTGGTCTAAACAATATATCATTATATCCATTTTTTTTCTTGTAACATTACCTAATAAAATATTTATCAATTAACTTTTCCGGTCAGTCTGTCTCTTTGGAGAATTGGACAATGAATTTTGTCATACCTTGAAGTTAAACCCATGATAAGCATTACCAGCTGCTTAGTTGGTTGGTTCATATTATAAGGGATTGGTTCCAGGAACCCCATGGATACTAAAGTCCATTGGTGCTCAGGTTCATTAATAAAATGCCGCAGCTTTTTCATAGTACCTGTACACACCCTCCTGTATACTTTCAGTCATCTCTAGGCTACTTATAATACCTAGCACAATGTAATGCTATGCAAATAGCTGTTCTCATGTATTATTTAGAGAATAACGACAACAAATAGTCTATACATGTTCAGTACAGTTGCAAATTTTCCCTAAATATTTCCAATCCACAGTTAATTGAACCTGGGGATATAGAACTTGTGGGTAAATAGGACAACTCTGTTTTCTCCTTGGCATTTGGGGTAGGTTAAATGCTAAAGTGTACTTTGCTTTACTGGTGTTACTGTACAGCACAAATAGTCCAGTGATATTAGATTCACAAATCCACCTGGGTATGCTTCCATCTCCTCATATGCAACTTACACCTCATGTGCTTCCATCTCCTCACACAAAATGCTGGCTCGCTACTGCTACATGTCTAGGTGAACTCAACAAATGTTGGAACCCTTTTAATTTCAGACAGCAGTGACAACAGCTCCCTAGAGAGACCAGAGCCCATGTCAATCCTGAGAGATCTTCCCCATGAATATCTATCTAATCTATTCTTTAAAATAAAAACTTTCACTAAATGCTTACTGTGCTGACACAAGGCACATGCAGGGATGAAGAGGATGGAGTAGAAGACAGTAAGAGTGGCACAATTTGGAAAATATGTGCACAATCAGGTGGGAATGGCAGCTGTCCAACTCTACCCAGGCTTTGCCTTGTGGAGTCGTGGGTCCATTGTTCTTGGACTCTAATTTTTTAAAACCTTAAATTAATATTGCAGATTTTATGGTGCAAATATAAAAACATTTATGGTAATCAAATAAAAGAACTTCTTAATTTAAAAATTTTTAAATTTTATTAGTACATGTTTGCAAACATGGCTACATTCCTTGTGAGAAATTGCTACATGTGCCTAACTCTTTTAATTCTTTATCCCCTTTCCCTCCCCTCCATCCACCCTACCTTCATTGCTTGTTCAAATTTCCTTTGCAAAAGATGTATCACCCTATTTCCTATTATCTCCCCTACTTTGCTCATTAATTTACTTATATATCGCTTATACATTGCTTATTAGTTTATTTATATATATTTTCTCAAGTAAGAGAAAACCTACCATATTTATGTTTGTGTGTCTGATTTATTTGACTTAACATGACAGTCTCAAATTATACCCATTTTTCTACAAACGACTCAAGTTTATCCACCTTAATCACAGACCTAGACTCCACTGTGTTTAAATTGATTTTATCAATTTCTTTGTTGATGGACGTATTGGTCATTTCCAAGATTTAACTATTATGAGTTGTGCTTCTATAAAGTGTACCTCTAGTATTTGTCTATTTTTTTAATAAAGTGTACTTCTGGTATTTGTCTTTTTTTAAATAAAAAGATTTTCCATTGGAGTCATTGACAACAACTGAAAGTTGATTGAAAAGCTAATTATCTTTTCTAGTAAATCACATAACAAAAAATCAGTGTTAGTATTTAATTTGAGACAAGAACATTTTAAAAAGCAAAAATAATGAAAGAAAAGCAAGATTAATTTCTGTGTATACAAAATGAAAAAGACATAAAAATCAGAAAAGGAATTAAAAGAAAATCATCAAGATATGAATACTTCCCCTTGATAACTGACTCATATTTTACAAGTGAGAACATAAATTGCTCCCACTTTTCTAAGAAATAATTTGGCACCATGTGTGGGGGGGATCCTAAAAGTTAACTTTGTCCTAATAAATAATTTCTGTAAGTTTAGATGAAGCAGAACTTTTGGCATAGTTTTATATATAATTAAGATTCAGTGATGAGTGATAATTCCAGAAAAATTACTACATTAAATATATTTACCATATCAATTTTTACATCAAATATATTTACCATATCATTTGTTACATCAAATATTAGAAACATTAAATGTCCAACCTAAAAGATAAGTAATCTTGACTAATTCTAAAAAAACATTTTATGTTCTTTACAGTATGATGATTTTGATTAATTTCTTAGATATAAGGCAAATGTTTTTTAAATACTAAAACACCCATAATCTACTACTACTTTTTAATTATTGCTCAAATTTCAGATATACTTTTCAAGAGTATTTCTTAAATCTTGAGCAGAATACATGAATTTGTCTATAATACCTCTCCTCCCTTTGTTACTGTTATCCTTTTTTCCTTGTTTTTCATTATACATTAAACAATGTCATGATGTATTTTGATTTAGTTTATATGTACAGGGTGTATGAGTGTATATACATACTTATCCATATAAATGGTTACACAGTGCATGCTTTTACATATATTTATATCTAGCTATCTAGATGGTACATAGCTAGATTGTTGGGGTGTGTGGGGGGGTGTGGTGCTTGGCATTGAATCCAGCCCTTCACTCAGGCTAGGCATGTACCCTAACACTGTGCTACACCCAAACCCTAGGATTCATTATATTTTTCATTCTATGGTTAAGTGGATTAGCAAATTTCCTTTGTATAACAAACGCAACATAATCATGCAGTTCCTTATTCATTGGTGGCAAAACTTTAACTGCAATTGCTGTTGTTGAAGATTTTCCTATCATAGACAGGGAGAATGGTAAATTACTCTTGTAAACTTCAGCAATTATTTTTATAAAAAAAAAGATTCCTAGCTGAGAATTTGGTGGCTAAAAAAGTGCTCACACTTTAAATTATAATGGATTCTTCTGGTATTTCCAATAATATTTGTGTCAAGTTAAGCTTCAATCAGTAGTATACCACAGCACCCATTTATTCCAAAAGTATTACATATTAGTAAATTGTTCTGAGTTATGCAAATTTAATGAGTCAACAGACCTCATTACTGTAATTTGTATTACCCTCACCCTCTCAGCATGGGTCAACCAGACTCGTAAGTGGGGGAATA